GCGCGACATGGAGTTAAGACAGCTCCATTGAATAACATTGGCCGGCGACTTCTCGCGATATCGCGCGGCAAAAATGCGCGATATCGCGGCGGAAATCGCGCGACAATTCGCTATATGTGAACGGGGCCTTAGAGCGATTTTGAGCGATATTGCTCCTTATTGCATACAGCCCAATAGGAAGATGTCGCGCGATGTCGCGCGACACGTCGCTCAATGTCGCTCAATGTCGCTCAAAGTCGCGCGATTTGCATGTCGCTCAGTGTGAATGGGGTCTTAGTCTGTACTGGTCATTTAAGTCTATACTGTTCATCTTATTCCGCACTAGTCATCTTAGTCCATACTGGTCATTTTAGTCTGTACTGGTCATTTTAGTCCATACTGGTCATTTTAGTCTGTACTGGTCATTTTAGTCTGTACTGGTCATTTTAGTCCATACTGGTCATTTTAGTTCGTACTGGTCATTTTAGTTCGTACTGGTAATTTTAGTTCGTACTGGTCATCTTAGTCCATACTGGCCATCTTAGTCCATATTGGTCATTTTAGTCCGTACTAGTCATCTTAGTCTGTAGTGGTAATCTTAGTCCATACTGGTCATCTTAGTTCATACCGGTCATCTTAGTTCATACCGGTCATCTTAGTTCATACCGGTCATCTTAGTTCATACTATTATTTTTTATTATTATTATTGGTATCTATATAGCACCGACAATTTTATGCAGCGCTTTACACAGTGCACATTCACATCAGTCCCTGCCCTCAAGGAGCTTACAAACTAAGGTCCCTATCTCACATGCATACATAAGGACCAATTTAGACAGGAGCCCCAACCTATACCAGCATGTCTCTGGAGTGTGGGAGGAAACCGGAGTACTCGGAGGAAACCCACAGGGAGAACATGCAAACTCCTTGTAGATAGTGATTTGGCCGGGATTCGGACTAGGGACCCCCAGTGCTGCAAGGCAGAAGCGCTGGTCATTTAAGCCCATACTGGTCATCTTATTTCATACTGGTTATTTTAGTCTGTACTGGCCATCTTAGTCTGTATTGGTCATTTTAGCCCATACTGGTCATCTACGTTCGTACTGGCCATTTTAGATCTACTATGAAAATAACACACCCCAGTATTTTCAGCACATACCAACATAAGAATCAGGTAAGAAGGGAACATGAAATTACTGCCACAGACAGGATACAGTGTATTAGGAACTACGGTGGTTGTTTGTACCATAACAGTACTGTGACAATTCCGCCATTGTTTCTTCTGTACTTTGCTGTAGTCAGTAAATTACTATCTTAACCCATTCATGGAGAAAATATTACTATGCCAGATAGATTGTTGCCAGTCAGTGTTACTTTTGACAGCAAATTTCGATGTAGTTTTAGTCATAGTCTTTTGACTAAAATGCCATTTAGATTTAGTCAAATTTTAGTGGTCTGAATTGTGTTAGTTTTAGTCTAGTTTTAGTTGACTAAATATCATAGGATTTTAGTGGACTAAATCTACAATAAATTTCGTTGACTAAAATCTAGTGGGTTTAGTTAAAGAGTAGTTTAAGAATTTCTCCAGAATTTCCAATCTCATTATATACTCCTGGAGTACACATCTTCTAACCTGTTATTACTTATGGTATTAAGGTTTGAACATGCAATACAGACACAGATTTAACTCAAAGGTAATACATTCACCTCAAGAGACATATGGGGGTTGCCATTGCGGATCATCTTTCTAAAAATGCTACTTGTCTGGTTTGTCTGGCTCCATTATTTCGTACTTACCTTCATACTTATTACAAGAACATGACATATAAAGTACTGAACCCAAAGCATAAGCATGTCAGCCAGGCAACAAGCATTCTTAGAAGGGGAGGTCAGCAATGACCACCTAGATGTAAGGGCTGCGTACACATTTTGGCTCCATTTCCTCCCACTCTAGTATAGCAATGAAGGTCCTGTAATGTAATTAGAGGAAATACAGTCACTGGGTGTTGGGTCATTCTGTGGACTTAGTGCTTAGTGTCCAGTTACAGTCCAGTGACTTAGTGCTTAGTACAGGTTCCTTGCAGCACTAGGGTCATTGACTCAAATCAATACCAGGGCACTATCTGCATGGAGTTTTCTAGTTCTCCCTGTGCTTTTGTGGGTTTCCTCTGGGCTTTGTTTTGTAAAAGACTTTGGCCACCCCATGGAGGGGAATAAAACTGTGGAAGTGCCCAAATTGCAGCAACGGTTGGCACGGGGTTGTTGAATTAAACTAAGCCTACTTGCTGCATGACACACGTGTTACACAATCCTTTTGACCCAACGTGTTGATTTAATTGCTATACCACAATTGAGAGTCTCACAGATATTTATAAACATCAGCACAACCTTTTTTTTTTCTTTTTTTAAATGAAACGCTTCCATTACATATACTTTTGTGCACACAGAAAGCCAAGCCTAACTTAAAGAAGAACTTCATTAACATAGTTAGGGATTGCTTAGCAACTAGTAACTGTTGAGACAATGAACACTGGCCAGAAGTATGTAATATACAGTATAGTGCAGTGGTTCTCAACCTGTGTAACCTCCGGACCCATATCTGCATATTTTGAATGGCTGCTCTGCGTGAGAACTGACATTGCTGCACTAGGGGGAGGCTGAAGAACCTCTTGCGTAAAAAAGTGGAAGGCATGTCGCGACCCACTTAACACATGGCCACGACCCACTTTTGTGTCACGACCCACCAGTTGAGAACCAGGGGTATATTGTATAGTGTGGGAGTCTGTAACGCAGTGGTGGTCAGAGGTGTGTAATGCAAATAGTGCAGGGGTCAGAACTACATAAAGCACACAGTGATGTGGTTAGAAGTACATTAGGCACATAGTGCCAGGTTCAGGGCTATATATGCCACACAAGGGTCAGGAGTAGATAATGCCCAGAGTGCAGGGGTCAGGAGTATTAACACACAGAATGTTGTGGTCAGGAGTACGTAAAGCACAAAGTGCCAGGTTCAGGGGGTATATACCGCACAGGGGTCAGGAGTACATAATGCCAAGCATGCAGATGTCAGGAGTATTTAACATACGGTGCAGGAACCAGGATTACATAATTCAAAGAGTGAAAGTTTAGGAGTACGAAATGCACAAAATGCAGGGGTGTTTAATGCACAGAGTGCAGCGGCGAAGGGTGTGTAACACACTGTGTGCAGGGGTCAGGAGTGTATAAGGCACAGAGTGAAAAGGCCATGATTATGTAATGCAAGGGTGCAAGATGTGGAATACCCAGAGTGCAGAGAATGGTAATGCACAGAGTTCGAAGGTTGGTGGTAAATAACGCATAGAGTACAGGAGAGAGGAGTATGTAATTCACAGCGTTCAGGGGTCAGGAGTGTGTAATGTGCAGAGTGCAGGGGTCAGGAGTATGTAATGTGCAGAGTGCAGGGTCAGGAGTGTGTAATGTGCAGAGTGCCGGGGTCAGGAGTATGTAATGTGCAGGGTCAGGAGTATGTAATGTGCAGAGTGCCGGGGTCAGGAGTATGTAATGTGCAGGGTCAGGAGTATGTAATGTACGAGTGCAGGGATAAGTAGTATGAAAAACACAGAGTGCATGGGTCAGGATTGTGCAAATTTCCCCCTGCAAGCAATACACTCCCCCACCATCCTCGCTCAGAAAAAATCCCACCCCAAACAAAAAAATATAGCACTAATCTGTATGCTCACCCCACCAAACACAAATCTCCCTTGCAAACCTTTCCCCAAACAAAAAATGCAAAAAATACCCCCTTGCCAGTACAAATCTACCTCCCTCTTTCCCCCCTGCAGCACAAATCTTCTCTACTCTGCCCATCCCCCCTTCGAGCACATATCTTCCCACCCCCAAAATCTTTCCTCTCAGCCCAAGACTTCATCCAACCCTCAAATTCGCTTTTCTCAGCAAAGTCTTCAATCCCAAAAATCTCCCTTTCCAACACAGGTCTGCTAATGCAGTCTGGACCTGGGGCTAGGGTTGCCACCAGTCCAGGATTGACCCAGAGAGTCCGGGTTTTGAATGCTGTGTCCGGGTTTCATGGCAGCAGAAACCCGGACACAAGATGTCAGGCAGAGAGGGGCAACCAAAATTAAGATGGGGGCTACTGGCCCCCCACTGAAAATAGTCTCAACTGTGATATTTACATATGAATGGGTGGCGCTATTTACATATGAATACGCTGAGACTCATTCTCCCAAAAACATGTCAGCGTGTCGCTAGAGTGTTCGGATTTCGCTTGAAAAAAAGGTGGCAACCCTACCTGGGGCACCCTACAGGAAATGAAGGGCACGTTGTATGTATCAGGCGAAGGTTGAGAATAGAATAGTCAGAGTCCAGGCAGAAATTGAGGAAGGCAGCGGGCAAGAAGATAACTGTAACAGGCAGGAACACCCTTAAGTGCTGTAACAGCGGAAAAGTGCATCAAAGCAGTGTCATTCAGGGGAGAAATGGGTTGGTACAGTGGTGATCAGTGGAGAAATGTGTCAGCCCAGTGGTGATTAGTGTAGAAATGCGTTGTTGCAGTGGTGATCATTGGAGAACTGTGTTGGTGCAGTGGTGAGTGGAGAAGTGCATTGGTGCAGTTATAGATAGATAGATAGATAGATAGATAGATAGATAGATAGATAGATAGATAGATAGATAGATAGATAATAGATAGATAGATAGATAGATAGATAGATAGATAGATAGATAGATAGATAGATAGATAATAGATAGATAGATGATAGATAGATAGTGTCACTGGTGCACTGGATGTGTACTTTTAATATCCTGCAAAGATAATAGTGAGCACATGGGAATGCACTTGCCGGATTGCCTCTCCTGGCACAGGCAGTGTTTGTAAAGTTGAGTGCCAAGGACCTGGTTTGGCATTCCTCCACCTGCAGGTGATTGGTGACCTGTATAGGAGGAGGGACTGTGGAGTCTCTGTATTGTGCACACTGTGACACCACACATAATGCACCTTGACCTGAGAGGAAGAGGGACTGGCAGAGGAAGCCTCTCCTGGCTGTGGCTGACAATAACAAGAACGGGTAAGATCAGTTGTGTTATATTCATCTACATAGTGTGCTTTTCCTCAGTTTAGAGAGGTCAAGACAGTGATCAATGAATTCTGATTTTCCGTTCTGTTCTCAGACCGTCATCAAAGTAACAAAGCGTGTGATTCTGTAGATGATTATGTGGAAATATTTGTGATAAACACTCAGCTTTTCTTTCCTATTCATGCTCGGGCTCTATCATGTACAGATACTAGGTTTACATGGGTGCCAGGCTCAAAGTCATATTCAAGTCAAAAGGGTTTGAAGCTATTTTAAATGCTGATGAAATCCCTTACAATGGATGCTGCTTCTTGAGGTTAAAGGAGAACTATGAGGTGAGTGCTTTTCACTCACCTCATAGTTCTAGCCAACATGTGACAATGAGACTGTCACAGGTCGGCTCAGTAGATCGGGAGGTGAGCGAACACATACCGGCGTTCGCTCACCTCTCGATCCTGTCACAGCTCTCTGCTGTGACAGGGGAGGGGCTGGATTCCCCGCTCCGATCCGCCTGCGCTGACTGGCGGATCGGGCGGGGGAGGGGCGGGTACAGCTGGCTCTGCCTCTAGATAGGCAGAGCCAGCTGTCACTCACGCAGCTGGGCGGATCCAGACATAATTGTCGGGATCTGCTTCAGCTGCGGCGTCTCAGTATATCGTGAGCAGTAGCTCGCGGTATACTGTGGCGTCCCAGTATACCGCGAGCAACAGCTCGCGGTATACTGAGCTTAGGGTGACGGGAGGGCGCTAGTTTGTGTCCTCCCGTTACCCTAAGGAGAACTATGGGGAAAAGCCTTAACCCCATAGTTCTCCTTTAAGAAGTTTTCGTTTCCTGTAGAATCAGCTGGTCTCCTGTGCGCTGGTCCTGATATCCTGTTTTAGGGCGGCTCCCTTCCCTTGTAGGGTCCTATGGAGCCACCCTTGTGTGTGCTAGTAAGCTGTATGTGTCTCCATAAACACACAGGCACAAAAACGCAAACCAGTCTCCTGCTCCACCCTCTCCAAGCTAGTAGATGAACATTTCCTGGAGACTGCTCTGTTCCTTATGTTCTTGTACTGGACAGGGAAGCTGAGCTGAGCTGAGAGAGTTGGAGCTGTTCAAAAACTTAATAACTGTAAGTGCTTGGGTAAAAATGTAAAGCAATGCTTTGCTGGGCAATGTGTATTTGTGTGATCTGGATTCATTATTTAAAAAAGTGAGTGTTTAATACTACTTTAACATTGAACTCCATGACTCATAGCAGGTATTAAAAAGACTATGCATGCAGCTATGTGTAATAAATATATACAAATTGTATTGGAAATTCAACTAGTTTACGTTTGTGAATTTGACTTCATCCTCTTATGACACCCTGCACAACAACACTCAGACTGGGAGATGGCGGGTCAGGGAGCCAGTTAGGTTTGCTGTATGCTTGTGTGCTATCCAGGAACATGCTAACAGGAGAGAGCAGATGAGTGATCCTATCAGCCTGTAGCTGCTTCCTCGCTGTCCAGCCTGGGGACAGGGAGGTGACCACGTTGTGTCAGGTCACTAACCTAGCTGTACAGACTGTTAAGGCCTGTGTACATCTCAGGAGAGATGAACAGAAATACAATTCCCTTGACAGGTAACACAGTCCCCATACATGTATTGCTGAATTTTATTGGAATGTTTGTGCAATACAGTGTATGAGAATTATGATCGGCAAAATTGCAGAAAATAGGCGTGTATTACACAACATTCTAATAGACAATATTGACTCATAGGGCTGTACGCACTCTTCATATTGCTTCTAAAGACTCTAGCAACAGTTGTACATAACCTAGTGGTGTGTAGTGCGTTTATGTAGAACCATAAAACGGTGGGTTAGGTTTATCTAGAGCCATAAAACGGTGAGTTGGGTATATGTAGAACCATATAATGGTGGGTAGGGTTTATGTAGAGCCATAAAACGGTGAGTTGGGTTTATGTAGAACCATAAAATGGTGGGTTGGGTTTATGTAGAACCATCAAATGGTGGGTTGGGTTTATGTAGAACCATAAAATGGTAGGTTGGGTTTATGTAGAACCATAAAATGGTAGGTTGGGTTTATGTAGAATCATAAAATGGTAGGTTGGGTTTATGTAGAGCCATAAAACGGTGAGTTGGGTTTATGTAGAACCATAAAATGGTGGGTTGGGTTTATGTAGAACCATCAAATGGTGGGTTGGGTTTATGTAGAACCATAAAATGGTAGGTTGGGTTTATGTAGAACCATAAAATGGTAGGTTGGGTTTATGTAGAATCATAAAACGGTAGGTTGGGTTTATGTAGAGCCATAAAACGGTGGAATGGGTTTATGTAGAACCATAAAACGTTAGGTTGGGTTTATGTAAAGCAGGGGCGCCCACAATTTTTCGTTCGGAGCTCTACTATTCCAATGACAAGCTCAATGAGATCTACCAACGAAAAAAAACCCGCAATGCGATCGCCCGCACCCTGTACGCAGGCACATCAGTGCCTGCGTTCCGGTCCAGTGCGATCTGCAAAAATGCTGCAAGCATTTATATTAAATATAATTT